AATTCCTGAGCACTTAATTGTGCTTTAGGAATCTGTACATAGACCAGGAGGTTGTCATTTGAACAGAACAAAGGGATATTTCATGGTTTAAAATCAGGAAGGGTGTGCAACAGGATTGTATCCTTTCACCATACTTATTCAATCTCTATGCTGAGCAAATAACATGAGAAGGTGGACTATATGAAGAAGAACACAGCGTCAGGATTGGAGGAAGAACAATTAACAACCTGTGATATGCAGATGACACAACCTTGCTTGCTGAAAGTGAAAGTGACTTGAAGCACTTATTGATGAAGATTAAAGACTTCAGCCTGCAGTATGGATTACCCCTCAACACAAAGAAAATGAAAATCCTCACAACCAAACCATTAAGCACCATCATGATCAATGGAGAGAATATTGAAGTTGTCAAAGGTTTCATTTTACTTGGATACACAATCAATACCTATGGAAGCATCAATCAATAAATCAGACATTGTATTGCACTTGGCAATTCTGCTGCAAAACATCTCTTTAAAGTGTTGAAGGGCAAAGATGTCACTTGGAAGACTAAGACGCACCTAACCCAAGCCATGGCATGTGAAATCTGGACAATGAACAAGGAAGAGTTGCTGCTTAAGAATTATGGTGCTGGAGAAGAATACTGAAAATACCATGGACTTCCAGAAGAATGAACAAATCTGTCCTGGAGGAAGTGCAGCAGGAATGCTCCTTGGAAGTGAGGATGGTCAGACTTTGTCTCACCTGCTTTGGTCATGTTGTCAGAAGAGACTATTCCATGGAGAAGGATATCTGCTTGGCAAAGTGAAGGGTCAGTGAAAAAATGGAAGACCCTCAACAAGATGGACTGACACAGTGGCTGCAATGATGGGCTCAAGTACAGCAAGGACTGCGAGGATGGCACAAGAACTGGCAATGTTTTGTTCTGTTGTACACAGGGTCACTATGAGTTGGAGCCAACTTGATGGCACCTGATCACAACAACCACCTCCTGAACTGTGAAAAAATAAATATCTATTCTTTAAAGCCACCCACTTATAGTAATTTTCTTTCTTTCTTTCTTTCTTTTTTACAGCAGCACTAGGTAACTAAGACAAGCTTCATAGAATTTTTCACTGCCTCCAAGTAGACCAGGCTCTTTTTGACTTTGGGTTTTTTGTACATTGTTACATTTCTCCTGTAATGTCCGTCCTTCCTTGCTACCATCTCTTCACCTAAAAAGTTCTTCTAGAGTAAGTAAACTCAAATATTACCATTTTGGTGAAATCTTTCCCAGCATCCTTAAATAGAATTATTTGCTACATTTTCTGTATTCTCAGAATCCAGTGTTGCATCCATTTGTTGAAACATTTCAATTGGTATGTTATCAATTCCTGGAGCACTGTTTTGTGCCAATGCCTTCAGTGCAGCTTAAGGAGTTCTAAGGGCATAGTGGATAAGACATCTAGCTGCTAAGCAGAAGGTGAATGGTTCAAACCAACCAGCTGCTCCACAACAGGAAGATGAGGCAAACTATTTCCTTAAAGATTCACAGCCTTGGAATCCCAATGTGGGTCGTTATGAGAATGCTTTGTTCGTATATCAGTATTATTTGTTTATATTAGGTAAACAGAGGAGGAGAGTTTTTTGAGAATGGTGGTAGTGTTGTTGTTATGTGCCACTGAGTCATCTCTGACTCACAGTGACCTTATGTACAACAGAACAAAACACTACCTGGTCCTGTGCCAGCCTCACTACCTCTGCTATTCCTGAGCCCATCACTGCAGCCACTGTGTCTATCCATCTCATTGAGGGCCTTCCCCTCTTTCATTGACCCTCCACCTTACCAGGCATGACATCCTTCTCCTGAGAATGTTCCCTTTTGACAACATGACCAAAGTAGATGAGATGAAGTCTGGCCATTCTTGCTTCCAAGGAACATTCCAGCTGCACTTCTTCCAGGACAGATTTGTTAGTCCTTTTAGCAGTCCACAGTACTTTCAGCATTCTTCACTAACAGCACAACTCAAAAGCATCAACTCTTCTTCAATCTTCCTTATTCATTGTCCAGTTGTCACATGCATATGAGGCAATTGAAAATACCATGGCTTGGGTCAAGCGCATCCTAGTCCTCAAGGAGATATATTTGCTCTTCAGCGCTTGAAAGAGGTCTTTTGCAGAAGATTTGCCCAATGCAATATGCCTTTTGATGTCTTGACTGCTGCTTCCATTGACATTGATTGTAGAACCAAGTAATATGAAGTCTTTGACAACTTCATTCTTTTCTCCATCTATCATGATGCTGCTTATTGGTCCAGTTGTGAGGATTTTTGTTTTCTTTATGTTGAGATATAATCCATACTTTACACTGTAGTCTTTAATTTTCATCAGTAAGTGCTCTAAATCATCCTCACTTTCAACAAGCAAAGTTGTGCTGTCTGCATATCGCAGGTTGTTAATAAGCCTTCCTCCAATCCTGATGCCACATTCCTCTTCATATAGTCCAGCTTCTTAGATTATTTGCTCAGCATATAAATTGAATAAGTATGGTGAAAGGATACAATCCTGATTCACTCCCTTCCTGATTTTAAAGTATGCAGTATCACCTTGTTGTGTTTGAACGACAGCTTCCTGGTCTGTGTACAGGTTCTTCATGAGTGCAGTTAAGTGTTCCGGAATTCCCATTCTTTTCAAAGTTATCCATAATGTGTTATGATCCACATAATCAAAGGCCTTTGCATAGTCAATAAACACAAGTAAACATCTTTCTGGTATTCTTTGCTTTGAGCCAAGATCCATCTAACATCACCAATGATATCCCTTGCTCCATGTCCCCTTCTGAATCCAGCTTGCACTTCTGGAAGTTCTCTGTCAATATACTGCTGCGACCATTTTTGAATTATCTTCAGTAAGCTTTTACTTGAGTATAGATATTATCTTGTCACTGACAGCATTGTACTTCAGGATGGATCTTGAAACATTCTTTGTGATGATGAATGCCATGCCATTCGTCTTCAATTTGTCATTCCTGGCATAGTAGATCATATTGTTGTTTGATTCAAAATGGCCAAACCCAGTCCATTTCAGCTTACTAATGCCTAGGATATTTATCTTTATGTGTTCCATTTCATTTTTGACAACTTCCAATTTTCCTAGACTCATACTTCATACATTCCATGTTCCTATTATTAATGGATATTTGCAGCTGTGTCTTCTTGAGTTGTGTCACAACAGCAAAAGGAGGTCCTGAAAGCTTTTCTCCATCCACATTATTATGGTTGGCTACATTCTGAGGAGGCAGCTCTTCCCCAGTCACATTTTGAGTGCCTTCCGACCTGAGGGGTTCATCCTCTGGCACTATATCAGACAATGTTTCAGGACTATTTTTCAGTAATATATCAGACAGTGTTTCACTGCTTTTCATAAGTTTTTCACTGGCCAATTCTTTGAGAAGTGGATCGTCTCTTCCTTCTTCAGAGTCTGTCTTAGGCAGGAAGCTCTGCTGAAACCTGTCCACCATGGCTAACCCTGTTGGCACTTGAAACACTGGTGGCACAGCCTCCAGCCTCTCAGCAACACACAAGCCACCACATGATGATAAACTGACAGACGAGTTCATCTCCCTTAGTTGTTCCAAACTGCTCCACTCCCACTTCCCGACCTTCCCTGCCAGTCCTGGCCCTCCAAAAAGCCATTGAGAATTGCAGAATATCTTATTTTCCTCTATGTTTAGCAATTAGCATCGTGGTTAGCACAGTACAGCTGGATGAGTGTTTTCTGTATGGGCTTTGCCTTTAGGCAAAATATTTAATATATTAATTGCTAAAGTAAATCAGCTACTTATACTTATTATACAAATAGAATACAAAAAGTCTTGGTTCTTTGATGTCATATAAATATTACTAAATTTTATTTCTGTCAGAAGTTACTAAGCTGATAGTCAAATATTTTCAGTACCCTTGTTTTTCAGTAGTAATTTTCATTCTTAGTTTACATTCTAGTTATGGGTTGCCTCTTTTAGGCCACTTGATTTAGAAAATATTAGTAAGCAAAATAATATAGTGATGTCTATGTGTGTTAGGGAAAAAAATGCTGACTGAAAGCTGGCTGTATGATAAATGTGGACAGAAAAAGACTATATATATTCAGCATTTTTAATCTACTTGCATTATGGAAAGATAGACTGTGTTAGATAGTAATCCCTTTGGACTCTCCACATTTAGTTATACTTGCAAAGTGTTCTTGTCTTTCTTTGTAAATGAGAAAGATGTGAAAATTCATAGTTTACTCAGTCAAGGGGAGAAGCTTTGAGCAAATAAATAAATACATATATTTATATGTTATTCAAAAACAAAAAAGGAAACTCAAAACTCACTGCCACAGAGTCAATTCTGACTCATAGTGACCCCCATTGGGTTTCCAAGGCTATAAATCTTTAAGGAAGCATAGTGCCCCATCTTTTTTTCTGTGGAGCTGCTGGTGGGTTAGAACCACCAACCTTTTGGTTAGCAGCCAAATGCCTTAACAACTATACCACCAGAGTTCCTTACATGTTATTAGAAGAACTAAATTTCCACCATCAAACTGCAAATCATACACACTATAGACAAAGTTCTGCTGTAAGAGGCAGTCCTAGAGTATAATGTTTTTCTAAGCACAAAAAATCTATACTACATATACCACACAAAGTTGAATACATAGTAGATGCTCAATAAATATATATATTGATAGGTGGATTAAAGAATATTTGTTTTCTGAAAAAGTATTTATTAGGCATTATCTATGTGTCAGGCACTGTTATAAGCAATTGTTGAATAAAACAAAACAATTTACAGAAATAAATAATAAACATAATAAATAAGTAATTTATAAAATATGTTACATAGGCAATAATTACTATGGGAAATAGGAAAAGGAGAACAAGGTAAGTGAGGTTAGGAATGTCCATGGTAGACAACATGGTGAATATTAAATAGGATGGTCTAGAATATATAATAATATAAGATTGGATTCTCACTTACTTTGAGTTTGCAGCCTTCATTCTGACACAGCTTCCTGACCAGGGCCCCAATTATGATCATCATAGTTTCTCTGATGTCATTGCTCCCAAAGGAACCTTTGAATTTACTCTATTAGTCAAACAGGGATAAAATAGATTATCAAACATTTAAACATTTCCAAGGGATACTTTCAGTTGAGGAGTAAAGTAACCAATGCTAGACAAAAATGTTTTTATCTCCCTAGATAATATATTCAGAATTTTGTTTTAGGATACTTACAAATTCACCATCTATTTTGAAATTGAAGAGTTAATAGTATTTCTCCTTCCCAAGTATTCTTAAACTAGGGTCTATTAATTAACTCAAGGCTTATGAATTTATTGAGTCAGTGAACCTATAAAATTTTGTATATGGGTAAAGAGGGACTTCACTGCTCTTATCCAATGCTAAAGTGAATCCCTTTTCCAAAGAAGGTTATGAACTATTTGACTAGATCATTTACAGTAACATAAAATGCACTTTTTAAAAAAAATCTTGGGAAGAAAAAAGAAGAAAAGTCTAGCTTTTGTTTTATATATGAAATCTTGGAAGAATTATATCTTCTCAATATATGGCTTATTAAATAACACAAAAGATTTTGAAGTCAAAACAAATCTGTTAAAATTGATTATTGAAGCATAACTAAGGTTTTCCCTCTCTGACATTTTGTCATAACCCAGTCACATTATATGACAGTTGAGCACAACTTTTAAATTTCTATCTAGTTTGGTATTGAGAAGAATGGTAAAAACTGTCATTTAAGTGAAATAGTTTACTGTATAGCTAATGATTAATGGATAGAAAATTGTCCAATAGAATTCACATATTAGTAATCAGAGGCTCTAGTTTGCAGCCTTCATTCACCAGAAAAACTTTCAATTACTGCTTATATTCTTGAGTTTTTTAGCATCGGGAGATTTTCCAGGTGCCCATTTGACTTACAATGAGAGCTTTCAGGAGGGCTTCATTGGGGTGGGAGGCAAATCCACAGGCATAGAGAAATCTCTCCTGGAGGATAATGCTACTGTCACTTTTGAAATCCAAAAAATCCAAAATGGCTTCCAATGAGTCTAGAGTCTGGGCAGAGGTGACTGCATCCACCAGCTGAGGTCTGTAAGAAAGGGATATCATGGATATCAATGGTTAGGATGCTTAAGGAATTATTATAAATCTCTACCATTCACAAACTCCTCATTAATTTTGTTTTCCAAAAATAGTGAAATTTTATTTGTATGAAAAAATAAATAAATAAAATGAATAGGACTTTCTTAAAAAGATTTCTCCCTGCCTCACTCATTCAAATAATGTATACTCAGAAAATGTAAACTAAGTTTACTATATTAATCTAAGCCAAATATAATTTGGAAGTAAAGAAAAAAGTATATAAATAACTTTCTAAATTAAATTCTTTTCTATATAAAAAATATACAAAATATGGTGATATTGTTATTGGTAGATGCCATAGAATTAGTTCTGACTCACAGTGAAGCTAAGTACAACTGCCCAGTCCTGCACCATACACACAATCTTTACTATGTTTAAGCCATTGTTGTAGCCACTGTGTCAATCTATCTCATTGAGAGTCTTCTTCTTTTTCAATGACTCTCTGCTTTACCAGTCGTGGTGTCCCTCTCCAGCGACTGATCCTTCCTGATAACATGTCCAAAGCCAATGAGATGAAGTCTCTCCATCCTCACTTCTAAGGACCTCCCTGGCCATACTTCCTCCACGACAGTATTTTCATTCTTCCGGTAGGCAGTCCGTGGTACACTCAATATTCTTAGCCAACACCACAATTTAAATGCATCAATTCTTCTTTGGTTTTCCTTACTCATTGTTCAGCTTTCACTTGCACATGAGGCAACTGAAAACACCATTGAGTGGGTCAGGCACATGCTAGTCCTCAGAGTGACATCTTTGTTTTTTTTTAACATGTTAAAGAGGTCTTTTGCAGTAGATTTGCTGTATGCAATACACATCATTTGATTTCTTGACTGGTGCTTCCATGGGCATTGATAGTGGATCCAAGTAAAATTAAATCCCTGACAACCTCAAACTTTTCTCCATTTATTATGATGTTGCTTATTGGTCCAGTTGTGAGGATTTCTTTGTGTTAAGGTGTAATCCTTATTGAAGGCTATAGTCTTTGATCTTCATCAGTAAGTGCTTCAAATTCTCTTCACTTTCAGCAAGGCAAGGTTGTGTCGTTGGCATATCACAAGTTGTTAATGAGTCTTCCTCTGATTCTAATGCTGTGTTCTCCATATAGTCCAAGCTTTTGGATTATTTGCTCAGCAAACAGATTGAATAAGGATAGTAAAATGATACAACCCTGATGCACACCTTTCCTGATCTTAAACTATGCAGTTTCCCCTTATTCTGTTTGAATGACTGCCTCTTGATCTATGCACAGGTTCCATAAGCACAATTGGAATTCCCATTCTTCACAATATTATCTACAATTTGTCGTGATCCACACACTTCAATGTCTTTGTATAGTCAATAAAACACAGGTAAACATTTTTTTGGTATTTTTTGCTTTCAGCCAAGATCCATCTGACGTCAATAATATCCCTCATTCCAAGTTCTCTTCTGAATCCAGCTTGAATTGCTAACAGTTCCTTGTGAATGTACTGCTACAATCATTTCTGAATTATCTTCTTCAGCAAAACTTTACTTGCATGTGATATTAATTATATTGTTCAATAATTTCTGCATTCTGTGGGATCACCTTTCTTTGGAATGGACATAAATATAGATTTCTTCCAGTCAGTTGGCCAGATAGCCCTCTTCCAAATGTCTTAGCATAGACATGTAAGAACTCCCCGTGTTGCATCCACTTGTTGAAACATTTCAATTGTTATGCTATCCATTCCTGGAGCATTGTTTTCTGCCAATGCCTTCAGTGCAGCTTAAAGAGCTCTAGGGGCATAGTTGATAAGACATCTGGCTGCTAACCAGAAGGTCAGAGGTTCAAACCTACCAACTGCTCTGTGGAAGGAAGACTGGGTGATCTACTTCTGTAAAGATTTACAGCCTTGGAAACCCAATGGGGGTCACGATGAGTCAGAAATGATTTGATGGCAGTGAGTCCGATTTTGAGTTGTCATATTAATGAGCATGTTATGTGTATAAATAATATGTACCATATCCATATAAAATATTATATCCATATAAACACATCATATATGTGTTTACTTCTTTAACCTTCTCAAAAACGATATACTTGCACTACACCATTTTGATTCTACCAAAAACCTACTGAGGTTGAAGGTGAGTGAGGCACAGGTTGAGAGAGAATATTTACTATGCAAGCACTGCATTACAAATTTTACACGTACAAACTTGCTTGGTTTTAATTTATTTACCTGGAAAATGGGCCTAAAATTATTTATCTCAAGATTATTGGGAGGATTAAAACATCTATGTGAAGCACTTAGAATAGTGCCTGGCATATAGCAAGTGATCAATTACTATTAGCTGTTATTAATACTATCATCTCATTTAATCCTCTAAGTATACTTGTCAGGTTAATAGTAATATTGTCACTTATGAGAAAACAGATTCAGAGCTATTGAGTCATTTATTCAAAGTTACATAACTAGCAAGTGGTATAGATAGGATTAGAATCCAGATTTTTCCAGCTCTGGAGTCCATGACCTTTTACTCGGTGTTTTCCATGCAGCACTAGTCCTGCAAAATGTTTTAAGAAAAGGGGTTTTCAAGGTCATACAATTTTAGAAAATATTCAAGGAAATTTATAAAGAATACTATCAGATTAATGACACTGAACATTTTTGCAGCAAAGAGAACTACTTAATTTGGTTTAACCCAGGGTTTTCTGAATTCAGGTCCTCACACAATCCTTTCCTTTTGGCATATCTGTTAATATCTTGCTGTTTGCAGGATATGAACAGTAGCTACTTCGGAAATGTTACAGTACACCACTCTGCCTTTCACTATCCTACAATAAAGACAAGGGATTATTATTTCTATTTTACAGATGTTGAAAGTAATGCTCAAAGAAGCTAAATGTAAATGACTTGCTTAAAGGTTATTCCACTTATTAGAGGTCAGAATTTGAAGCAGTCCTCTGATTTTGCTTTCTACTACATCATTCAGATTATTGCTGTCACAAGAATTTTAGGATATAGACAAGGCCAAGGTTGTGTGTACTCTCTATTCTAAATTAGTAGCAAATATTTGCCTTTTTTCTTGTCAGATCTTTTTTGTCTTTGATATTAAGACAAGTCATCCTACCGATATATTTTAAAGCTCTACGATTAAAACAGAACTTATCATTTTGCGTCTATTTTGCTTTAACTGGTTCTTTGTTTGGAGTCCTCCAATGGCCCAAACAATTACACACTCTACGACAAGCCAAAAGATCGGCAGTTCAAATCCACCCAGAAGGGCCTTGGAAAACAGGCTTGGCAATCTGCTTCTGAAAACTAACAGCCTTGAAAACCCTACGGACTTGTTCTTCTCTACACCATGAGTTGCAATTGACTAGACAGCAGCTAGGAGCCCTGGTGGAGAAGTGCCTAAGGTATTTGACTGCTAACCAGAAGGCTGGCGGTTCAAACCCACCAGCCACTCCTCAGAAGGAAGGTTGGGCAATCTACTCCTATAGTGATATCGCCTCAGAAACTCAAGGAGGGGTAGCTATGAGTCAGGTCCAACTCAATGGCAGTGAGCAACTGACAAAAACAACCAATGTGTAACCATAATTGGAATTATTCATATGGAATTTCTGTCATTTTTTGGTAATGTCCTCAAGATCTGTAAATAACAAATATAAATTAAATACGAACATATTTCTCAGAAAAAAAGATAAATTTTCTTTTTGGGGAATTGAGTTCTTTGAATTCAGCAAATTCTGCTAAGACTATATGTGTATATTTGCATCATGGCCAGTTTCTACTTTTGGGTTATGTTAATGGCTAGTTTCCACATTTTGTAAAATGCTTTGAGCAGAACCGTCTATATATAGCATCAATTAGGATAGTCGGCCACATACAGTTAACTGAATCAACTTTGTTCTTTTTGGTGTATAGTAACATATTTACAGACAAAGTGAGTTGAGAATTAAGTCACGTAAAATGGATCACACCATTACTAAATATTCAAATAATGTATGGGTTTCTTTCTTTCTTTCTTTTCCTTTTGGTTACTTACTTCAGTTCTCAACTTTCTATATAGAACAACTTCAATGGGGATGGTCATTGGATATTTAATGACAGGACATTTCTCAATTGAAGAAGTCATACTCTTTTTTGTTTTATTTTATTTTTCCTTGTTTAATTAACTCAGAAATCTTTTCAAGTGTAAATTAACAGCTTCAGGAATGCAGTTTCAAAACAGCAAGGCAGCACATGTACCACGGTGTTCTGTCCCAAGGAAGCCCCACCTTTTCCTATCAATGTACCAATCTAGTATCAATTTAAAACTCATAAATTCTCAAAAGGAAAAAGTGCCTTCTGAGTCACTGCTGCAAACTGGCCCCTGTATTTCTGGCCAAGTGACTGTTAAATTACTGTATTGTGGCATAACTCATGAAAATGCAGAACAATAAAATAATTGATTTGGAAGTGAGGCAAAGTGTTTAGTAAACACAAATAGCCTAAAAAAGATTTCCTACATACAACTCCACACAATGCTGGGGGAACTTACAGTACTTCCTTGTCTTCAGTCTTCAGAATTTGGAGGATCTCTTCTTTTTTTGCTGTTCTGAGGTGCTGAATAAAAGCCAGAAAGCTTCTGACAGCCTCAGCCTTGGAGAGGTTGTCAGGCAATAGGTGCTTTTTGATGGACTGCCAGTGCTTCAAGAGCTGCAAAACAGCACTGCCTCTCACATCTCATTCATAATTCTGAACATTCACATTTCAAAAGTTGTGCTCCCCAAAAATAAAGCTTTCCTTGTATCTGACAAGCAATGAGGCTTTTTGAATCTTACCTCGCTATACCTGATCCCTCCCATTCCTACGCGTATCACCCCTGTGACTCTCAGAGGAAAATATAGACCCTGTGTACAGTTCATCTATAGGTGGACAATGTTTATCTATTACTATTTAGTTCAAAGATAATAGTTAGCTGGTCCTGGGAATATAGGTTATGCCAGGCTTTAACTATCAAGTGAACTTGTGCAGAAGTTCAATGAATAGTAGGCTGTCTTGGAGAGAAAAAGTCTTGCTGAAAATTGTCTCAGGTTTCTAATTTGCCTGTATTTCACTGAAAATAAGTTAGTGCTATAATTTGAGTTCCCTGAAGGTTTGGCAATCCTACTTCCGTAGTGATACTGCCTCGGAAACCCAAGGAGGGGTCGCTATGAGTCGAGGCCGACTTGACGGCAAATAACAACAACAACAACATTCTATGTCTTTAGGAGATCTGGTAGCATAGTGCTTAAGGCATTTGACTGCTAACCAGAAGGCTGGCAGTTCAAACCCACCAGCCACTCCTCCGAAGGAAGACTGGGCAATTTACTTCTGTAGTGATACTGCCTCAGAAATCCAAGGAGGGGTCTCTATGAGTTGGATATAACTCAATGGGAGTGAGTTTGGTTTTTTAGGTTTTATTCTATCTCTTTACTGTATTTTTTGCATGAAATGCAACATTTTACTATTGCTGAAGTATGAATTGTTTCTGTTAAGGGGGACTTCAGAGTGGTTTTTAGATAAAGGATATCTTCACACAAGCTACTGTCATTCTACTGTGGTCTTAAAATTAGTAAGTAGTTCTACTTAATAACATCTCTTGGCTTTGAAACATGCTGAAGAACTTATTTTCGTACCAAAAAAAAAAAAAAAAACAACCTCACTCCTGTCGAGTCGGATCTGACTCACAGCTACTCCTCCTTGGGTTTCTGAGGTGGTATCATTAGGGATTGCCCAACCTGCCTTCCGAGGAGTGGCTGGTGGGTTTGAACCACCAGCCTTCTGGTTAGCAGTCAAATGCCTTAGGCACTATGCTACCAAAGCATGCACAGTTAAGCACTTTTCCCTATTTGTAAAGAATATTAGTGACTTCTAATTCTCTCTTTCTCTTTAATTTCTCAGTCTTCCTGAGAAATCAATAGATACTTATTTTTCCCTTTTCCAAATCTCTCTGGTTAGCTGATCCTAAGAGGATATTCCAAAGCAAAATTTCAGTTGCTCTTAGCTAAAGATTTACCAAGTCATTTCTGAGGTCAGAGAACTGACGAATGTAAATTCAGTTTTTTTGTTTTGCTTTATAGAGTTGCAGTAGTGACATACTGAATTTGGAAAGGCAAATTCTTTAATGATGCAAGTTCTTTAACAATTAAATAATTGTCAAAAATCTAAGATAGTTTTTAATGTTTGGTAACTATGTGGGGAGAAATTAATAGTTCACAGCATAAGAAACATGATTAGTTTCATTAGTCATATTCCTAAATTTCCCATCTCTTACAACATTAGAAAATTACATTGGAACATTAAATGACATTCAGAAGAAAAATAAGTAAGAGAAAAAACAAACTCTGAGAATTTGCTGTTTCATTTTGGTTATCCCCTGCTTTTAATTTGGTAAATTTGAGAAAATATTAAGGGCTTAGTGCCTTATGTTTTAAGGAAATTATATTAATTTCTGATGATTCCACTTTCTGAACACCAGTAATGCCTAAAGGGAATTATTGGTATGGTTCCTCCATACAGAACATGAAGCCAAGTATTTGCTCTCCTGATAAGAAGTTAAATATTAAGAAATGTGGAACCCTAAAGTCATTTCTAGGAGCTCTGGTAGCATAGTGCCTAAGGCACTTGACTGCTAACCAGAAGGCTGGCGGTTCAAACCCACCAGCCAATCCTCGGAAGGAAGGTTGGGCAATCTACTTCAGCAGTGATCCTGCCTCGGAAACCCAAGGAGGGGCCGCTATGAGTCGGGTCCAACTCGAGGGCACACAACAACAACAAAGTCATTTCTGGGGCCATACATCATGACTGATTAATGCAGTATATGAAATTGTTCTTTGTTGGACTACATGTTCTAAAAGGATGTACACTTTGCCTGGGGGATGTGATACCTCATTTCTGCCTACAATTGTATGGGAGGTTGGGACGTGGTAAAGAAATATCCCCTAATATGGCAGAGAGCCTGGCATCCCTTTTAGTCCTCACAGTTATAATCAGAACACTGAGCTCACTAACATATCTCACCTGTGAACATATTGCTGTCGTTGTTGTTGTTATGTGCCGTGGAGTCGGACCCGACTCATAGCGACCCCTCCTTGGGTTTCCGAGGCAGTATCTCTACCGAATAGATTGCCCCATCTTCCTTCCGAGGAGTGGCTGGTGGGTTTGAACCACCAGCCTTCTGGTTACTAAGTGGTAAACATTCAGAATTCAGACCTATATCCCTGCTGTTCATACCATATGCTTCAGCTAACTTCATTAGACTCTTCAACCTCCTGTATTTTTTAAAAAATAAAAAACAGGTGCTATTTTTTAAGAGCTGCCCTTAGGTAATAACATTTTTGTTTGTGATGAGTGAGTGGTATTTACTTGTTAATTTTTATTGTATTGTGCATCATCTCAGATGCAGTGTTATCACAATTCATTAGTGGCTGTTGTTTCCTTATACAGTTTTTCATAGCATGAAGCTGAAGTTTCCATTGGAGGCCCAAGAACAATATAGAATTTCAACCCGTGGTTTTTCCCATATTGATCCACACAGTGTAGTTGCGCACACTTACAGATGGGCATCCTTTACACTCGCTCTGGAAGATCTGCCCCACAATGGGAATTGCTGTGTACTTTGAATCAACTGCTTTAACTATGGATGCAACCTGCTTTCCAGGCATCATTCTTGGTCCAGCTTCAGTTGTCTTCAACTCTAATTTCTGCCTGCATAACCACAGAAGAGAACTTTCACATGACCAGCATTCTTTGGAGTAAACAAGATACTAGTTACCATTCTTTTGACAAACAAGATACTAATTTATCCAAATTGGGTAGGCCATATCTTTCAAACTGGAATATCTCAAGAATTACCGGTGATCCCCAAATAATTACAGTGTCTTTCTGAAGCAACAATTTTGTTCAAAGATTTGGAACAGTAAATTCAGATTTTTTAAATATATGAAAAGAAAATGCAGGGAAGAAAATGTGCCTGGATGCTGAACAAGATATGTTGTGTTAGCTCTTTCTAATTTAGCCCAGTTTTCTGAAAATAATATCTCAATGCAAGCACATGCCACTCATTAACCAAGACAGTTAACAAAACCCAAACCAAACCCATAGCCATCGAGTTGGTTCTGACTCATTACTACCCCCACAGGGTTTCCAAGTCTGTTATTCTTTACGGAAGCAGAATGCCTTATCTTTCTCCCATGGAGCAGCTGGTGGGTTAGAACCACCAACCTTTTGGTAGCAGTCCAATACCTTAACCACAGCGCCACCAGAGTGCCTAACCAAGACAGCAAGGAAATCTTACTTTCCAAAAATAGTTTCAACAATATTTTTGTCCCACATGCTCTTCTTTTGTCACTTTCCTATCGATAGGTAGAATCTACGTCCCTGTCCTTGAACCTGGCCAGGACTCCATGACTGCCCTGACTAATGGATGTGACACTATGTGACTTCCAAAGGCTAGGTCATAAAAAGATTTCAGCTTTCATCTGGCACATTATCAGCATACATGGCTTTGGAGCCTTAGGCTGCCATGGGATAAGTCTGGCTACCTGAAGCTTCCATGCTGAAGGGTCACATGGAGACTAAGAGAGATGTGTGAGGAGCCTCAGTTGTTTGAATCCTCCAAACCCAGGTACCAGATGGGTGAGGGAGCAACCTTCAAATAATTTTTAGCTCTGGCCAGTGACTGTCTGCAACTACATAATAGACACCAAGCAAAGCATGCCTAGGTGGGGCAAGTCAAACCCCAGAATTATAAGATAAAATAATAAAATTATTTTTGTTGCTTTATGCCATTAAATTCGTGATGGTTTGTTATATAGCAATGGAAAACTGATAGACCTGATTAAGCAATTGAGACTATGTATTTCATATGAAAAAATGTAGATGTAATATAGAGCAGGATACAAAATTCTACTCCATGTGAGACTTCAAAAAAATTGTAAGCATTTGTAGCATGGGGCAATCTCCCAAGATTTTGCATTCATTCACCTCTGACATTAGGGTTATTTCAGAGAGAACATTTTAGAAGCAATGGCATAATTTGGTAACATTTAATGCTATGATTTTTTTCTTTTCTGAATTAAAACCTGAAAAAAACACATAACCTTGTACTTGAAATTCTAGTTCTTAATCCTGTGAGAATTATACTGACCAGAGAAATTTTCTCAAATTAAAATAAAAGCATTGAATATTTGTGTTACAAGTCACATAAAAAAATTCTATCACATTTCTTTACGATGGTAGTCGTTATGTATTTTGTTAAAAAATAATCATGGAAATACTGTCATTCTTTAACCTTAACATTAACAAACATTTGACAGAGAAATTAGAAACTAAACTAGAATGAATCAAGTAGTTTGACATTTTAAATTTTAAACTATATTCAATAGATGTTTTTCAACGAAATTCTATTTTAAAAAAATTATTAGGTGCTTACTATGTGCTAGGTAGGAGCTCTGGTGGTGTAATGCCTAAGACATCTGACTGCTAACCAGAAGGCTGGTGGTTCAAATCCACCAGCTACTCCTCAGAAGGAAAATGGGGCAATCTACTTCTGTAGTGATACTGCCTTGGAAACTCAAGGAGGGGTCGCTATGAGTCGGGTCTGACTCCAGACCACATGACAACAACAACAACAACATGTGCTAGGTATTGTAAATGTTATGAAAAATAAAGGTGAAAAAGATATAGTTACAGTTTTCAAGGAGCTAACAATCGAAATGAAGAAGCACTCATAGGAGAATGATAATATACTAAAGAATAACAAAGAAAATAAAAATTTTAGCATTATCTTACTTTGAAACTATTTTCCCCATTACAGTTCGTAGGAAATTCAGCCCCAAAGCATGTATCTCTTCTCCAATCACAGCAATAACAAAGCTATCTTCTATTTTATAGGTGGTAAGAGACGTAGCTTTTGAACTGACACTCAAGACCTAGTAAGAAAGTAAATAAATAATTATTTCTAACAAGTAATTGGTGTTTTTTTCAAAATCATGTTAATCAACAAACTTTTAATCTTAAAAAAAAAACTTCCCTCTCAAACCCTCCCACATGACCCACACCTACAACATATTCAAATAACAGTTTATTCATTTGATAAACTTAAACTAAAAATTGTAATTGTTGCCAAATTATATTCTATATAGTTGTACTCTGTATTACCTTATCCTCCTATCATTTTAAATAAATTTCTGCAAAATGTAATTATTTCAATGCCTCAAACAATACCTGATTTTGGGTTGTAAATCCAGATCTTGCTATTTTGCATGAATTCAAGTCCTTAATTTTCATCACTTTGTCATGATGAGCTTGGTAGGTCACTTTACAATCCCCAGAGATATCTACCTAAAAAGAAAAGTAAGAACATAATGTTTGGGATTCTCCTATGGACCATTTTAATTCTGATGTGAAGTTGCTTGAAAACTGGTAATGTCACTGGGCAAGACTTTTTTCTAGATTCACCAGATAAGAAGACAGGAAGAGTTCAGTATGTTTTTGGAAACATATAGATTCTTTTCCTTTCTCTTTGAGTCTTACAAGGACCTTCTTACTGTCCCTAGAATAACACAGGATTTCCTACTTCTCTCTGATGTCCAATTAGAGTTGGACAAATGATCTTGTCATAAATGAAATTTCTGGTGAATTGTGATCAGGTACAGAAGGAGTTGACTTCCAATGTGGAATCTAGGCTGCATGTGTAAGTGTGTGTGTGTGTGTTTACTTTGACAATTGAGCATAATAAATTCCTAGAAAACTGTGGGATTTATTCAAATTATTAATGGCATCAAAAATTTGAATTTAGGAAAACGTATGTCAGTACAGACACTTCAATTTCTCTGAGCTTGTCCTCATATTCCTGCCAGCACCACACCCAGCCTCTATGCTAGCAAGCTAACCAACGTTCCCTTGGCCTAGCTCTGTGGGGAAGATTTTCTCACCCACTCATGAATTTAGGCTGTGAAATTTGAACTCCAGGCTCAGCCCTGCCCTTGACCACAGGTGTGATACTAGGTGAGCCATTTAATTCCTCCAGTTTAGTCCCTGTTTCTTTGTCTATAAAATGAAAGGAGTTGGCATATGCCAGTGGTTCCCCAAACTGACAATGGATCCAAATTACCCAAGAAAACTGTCAAAATATAGACACTAGGGTTCTCATTAATCTACTGAATCAGAATCTCTGGGATGAGTCCAAAGAATCCATATTCTTAATAGGTCCCTCGTGGGATGGTGGTGCATAGTGATGAATGGAAATACTGGAATAATCTCTAAAGTTTCTGTATCTCTTGTTGTTGTTGTTGTTATGTGCCATCGAGTCGGCCCCAACTCATAGCGACCCCTCCTTGGGTTTCCGAGGCAGTATCACTACGGAAGTAGGATTGCCCAACCTTCCTTCCGAGGAGTGGCTGGTGGGTTTGAACCGCCAGTCTTCTGGTTAGCAGTCAAGTACCTTAGGCACTAATCTACCAGAGCTCCTTCTGTATCTCTAGCATTCAGTTATTCTATAAATTCTCTTAGTATAACTAATTCTATTCCCCTTACTTTGTATTCAAGCAATAATATATTGGGATAAACAGCAATACTTCATATGTAAATGAAACTTGACCACACAACTCACCTTGCAGATCATTATTATGATATCAACTTTTTTACTGAATTTCCACAAAATAAAAATCCATATAAACAATCTTGGTTACCCCATTGTTAGAGATGTTGTTAGCAGCTGTCCAGTCTATTTTGATGCATAGCAACCCCATGTGGCAGACTAGAACAGCTCCAAAGAGCTTTCTAAGCTATGTCCTTCTTCCAGAGAGCAGCTGAGGGGGTTCAAACCCCTAACCTTTCCATTAGTAGTTGAACACTTAACCCTTGCGCCACCTATGCTCCTTGTTAAAGAAGATGCTGAATCATTAATAATATTCGTAAGTACCTCATTGGTCATTCCAGAGCTTAACTGCATCTGAAATAGGCTAGCCAGACCTCTCTTGAGATTTTCTATGGCTACTGGCTCATTTTGATATGAGTAGAACTCTTTGACCTAGGAGGAAAAAGAGGACAAGTTTAAATGAAGCATCAGTTATCAGATTGGATTTAATGAGTGGTTGTTGTTGTGCTGTTTTTGTTATGTGCCGTGGAGTCGGACCCAACTCATAGCGACCGCTTCTTGGGTTTCTGAGGCAGTATCACTACGGAAGTAGATTGCCCCATCTTCCTTCCGAGGAGTGGCTGGTGGGTTTGAACTGCCAACCTTATGGTTAGCAGTCAAATGTCTTAGGCACTACGCTACCAGAGCTCCTTAGTGAGTGGTAGTAAAGTGGTAGTAAAGGTCATATTCTCACCCCTATTAACTCTGGGAGGACAAGCTCTGTTTTTCCATAGCTGGCATTTCTTTTTAAGAAAGATACATTTTAAACTTCTAAGATGCTGAATTATCAGAATATGGAATTTAGGGAGAATGATAATGAAGGCTCTGAACATGGTGGGTACAGTAGGTAAGGGAACAGAGTACTAAGATAGCTGGGATTTCTATGAAAGCAAAAAGGGCCATTCTTTTGGAGCACATCAGCATGTCAATCTGCAAACCTGCTTGTAACAAAAACTAGCCAAGGTTAAAAATAACAGCACACAAAAAGGTCTTGGAAGAGAATGGCAACCACCAGCCTTGAGACTCGTGAGATGGCACAGCCCATAAAGGCTATGACAAGAGCCCAGGCATGACCATATGCCCATGGACAAAATTCCATATGGGTGACGTTTTCTTGCCCTCAACATGAGCAGTCATGTTGCCTTGGTTACAAAGAGATACAGAAGCTCGGAAGAGTTGAGTTTAAGATTACTACCACTTCACCACCTGTGACGGCAGGGAGTACCGCTTCACCACCTGCCCAGGCACTGCTTTGAGATTTCTTTTTGAAATCAAGGAAGAGAGGTTGAGATGAGGAAAGTGACCTTGATTTAGCAGCAGTAGAGACGTAAATGACTTAGCTTAGCTTTGTTTCATCCTATATATTTATAGGCACAGGGATAACAGTGTCTTATACCATTTTGATAACTTAGCTCACTTTTAAGGATAAAAATACAAAGAGAATTTTCTGGAAACCAACCTGCTATTTTTCACTTTGTATTAACTACAAATGTATCACACAATTCAGAAATCAAGTGTAGAATGATATCTTCTATGTTAAAATTTCTTGAAAAAATTTCACTGTCTATGATAATTATAGCTGAGCATTTCGACTAGAAATATCCTGTCTTCCTATTTCTCTTGAAAACCGACCACGGCGTCTCCAAGTGATACAGAAAGCTCGATAATTATCCAATGAACTCAGTTAATAGCCGATTTGAATGACTCAGCCTACCTAAAAACTCATGTCTCAGAGAAGAAAACATTTTACCTGAGTTATCCAAATAACTGCCTCAAATCACTATTTTTACTTTCTACTTACATTCTGTCTGGTGACATGTTTACTAGGTACCTTAGCAGGCAATCCATTTTTGTCACTGCAATAGATGAACCTATAAATGTTGGAATGGTTTTTGTCCTGGTTAAAAAGGAACTGGAATAGTGACCTCAGCGTCTGAAAATCCTTGGTGTCATATTCTCAAACAAATCACTGGCAATTCCTCAGACTCAAGCCTGAGTTTTTAACGTACTGTTTTGTAAACTGGGTCTTCTTTCCTTTGATAATCACAGAGCCACTTCCTTTTCAAAATATCTGGTGGTATGATATCTACAGAATTACAATGACTATTACCTGCTGTCATTGAGTCTATTTTGACTCATGGTGATCCCATGTGTGTCAGAGTAGAAATGTGCTCCATAGTGTTTCCAATGGCTGATTTTTCGGAAGGATATCACCAGACCTTTCCTCAGAGGAACGTCTGGGTGGATTTGAATCTCCAACCTTTTGGTTAGCAACCCAGCACGTTAGCCATTTATGCTACCCAGAAACTCCATAGTGACTATTAGAGGTTCATAGCTGGGTCACTTGAGTTTGGAAACAGAATTGGTCACATGGTGGCAATGTGCTTATGCCCATGGCCCAGACCTCCTTGCCTTGAATTTTAAAAAGACTTTAGAAGGCAAGAGGTGCCATTAAACTCACTGCCATGGAGTCAATTCAGACCCACAGTGACCTTATAGGAAAGAGTAGAAGTGCTAGACCTCTGTGGAAGCCGACTGCTTCATCTTTCTTCTGTAGAGCAGACAGTGGTTTCAACTTGCTGACCTTTTGGTTACCCTGCAAATGTTTTAACCACTGGGCTACTGGAGCTCCTCAGAGGTGTCATTAAGTGGGAAAAACATCTGTAGTATCATCCTTAACCTCACCTCCAGTCTACAAAATGTGTCTGAACTGTTTAGAAAGTTTTACCTAAAATTTCAGGTAATTTCAGTTCTCAGATTTAGTCATTGGATTACATATAAGGTCAAACACTCTTCAACTACTGGATCGTGATGTCTAGGTCAGTAAGGAAATGGTGTTAGAGTCTGCTTTTTTTGTTTTGTTTTTTTCTTTTTCTTTTTTTCCCCTGGCAGGCTGAACAATGCAAACTGTGAGACAGAAAGAGAAATTGAATTTTTTTCTTCATTCTTTCTATTTGCATTTATTGTTAGTCTGGAATAAAGAAGTGGGCACTTTTCGTTGTCATTTTTATAACAACTACCTCTGGGACTTAAATTATTTCTTTAGTGCCCACCAATAAGATCCAAAGTAAATCTCCTGTTAACTAAGTTTCAGAACTATCTTAGAAGTGAACTGGCTTGCAATTAAAAGAAGAAGAAGAAAGTTAGTACTTTGCAGCTCAGTCCACCTAATAATTAATCTTAAATTCACTATTTCACAATGGGAACTGAGTAAGCTTTATTACATCCAGGCCATAAAATCGATTACTTTATGCAGTACTGAAATGAGTTCTGAACATCCAAGAGCACAGGACTCTTATCTAAATTCACAGTTCTCAGTGCTTCCAGAGAGCTACAACAGGCGCAAGCTGGTTACACACTAAGCCTTTTAACCCAGGGAAACCATGCAGAGGGAGATGAAAGGACTGTGGGGAAAGAGAAACAGTGCCTCTCCTACTCAAATTTCAATGGTCCCTTTTCCCTTGGAGTCAGTAGGCATCATTCATCATTTTTCCCCAGGAAGAGTATGCCTCTCTGTGAAGATTCCATTAATTTGTATATATGTATATTTAAGACTAAGAGAAAGTAAAATTCCATCAACTGGCCAAACAGTATAATTAAACAGAAAAGATCGTAGTCATGTTATCTGTTTTACTTGGCTGGAACTAAATCACTAAACGTATCTTCAATATGCATCAAAGAGCAAAGCTAGGAAATGACATATTGCAGAACAAACAAGTGAAACAGATGAGAAAGTAGAAGGCTTTCAAGGGGTCACATTTTTTTTGGTGGCTCAGTGTGGGTACAGAGTCATACTGCCAGATACAAAGAGCACATCAATGCCTTGAAACAACAGAAAACAAAGGGCAGGCTCACCTGCCAGTTTGCTAATTTAATCAATGCAGACAGTCAAAATCAGAAATGGAAATCTGGTAGTTATCCAGTTAATTGGATTAGTATTTCAGACTAGAAAAGAATCCACAATATAGCTTGAGGCATCTTCTGCTTGTCAGTGTTAATAAGCTTAACCAGATAAGCTGTCACATTCCCAACTTGATTTATGATTTGTTGATGAAACTAAAGAGTCATTTCCAAACACTTATGTGAGGAAGATGATAGGACATGGGGTGGGGGTGGGGGGAGAAAAAAAATGTGTGTAAGGAATATGCATCTATGTATTTTGAGGGATGTCCTTTTATCATGCAAATATATGGGCCTAAAATGGGGGCCTATGGAAAGAGGAAAAATACATGCTAATGAGCATCCTTGAAGTCACAGAAATTTGTGGGAGTAAAGCTAAGTTGGAACCTAGGGTAGAAAATACTCTCTAAGAAAATTGTTGATCAACAGTTTAGCCAATCTTATGATTTCTCACAGTAAACTGAAATTATAGTTAAGTAATGTCCTTTCTGACAGTAATGTGGCTAAAAATACCACATGGTTTCTCACTCTCCAGGGTCACTTTTTTTTCCTACAAGTACTTTATCATATAATTGAAAGATATCACAGTGTACTTTAATCTGTGGCTTCAGTAAATCATCACAGCTCTAGAACTGGCATGTTGGAGCCACTGAAATAATGATGTGGCAGCTCCATTGCAGCCTTTGAACACTGAGGGAACTGTGTCCTTTATGTGTGTAACAAAAGACTTTGTACTCAGCTGCCACTCAAGGAGCTATAAAGTCTTTGGTTGTCATTAAGATTATAAATGCAATTAATATTTTATGGTCATAGTGTCTTGCTTCATTGGAGGCCTGGAGGAGAAAATAGCAGTATTTTATGTTAACAAACTTGTAACATATACAAGTAAAGTGAGAGAACAGATATGATGAAGAACAAAATAAGGAATACTACAAGTCAACCAAAAAGGCAGTATTTTCTCAAATACTTTCCAGCTAGAAGACAGTATTACATGGAGATTTTGACCATGGACTTTGAAATTAAACCCTCTATTTCAGATCAGCTCCACCACTTGCTACTTGTGTGTTCCTAGGCAAATTTCTTAAGTTCTCTTAACTTTGATTTCCTTGTCCATTATAAGAGGATGACAATACAATTCCTGCTGCTTATTGCTGTTATGAAAGAAAAGATAATTCATGTAATGCTTCAATCACAGCCTGGCACATAGTAAGTGCTAAGCATATTTTAACTATTATTAAGCAACAACAATAGTAATAATAAAAATGTTCTCAAAGTTCAACTCATTGTAGCCCTATATCACCTTATTAATTCATTTATTTATTTTACAAAACATTCCTACTATGAACAAGTTGCTAACTATACAGAAGACAAAGTTGCTGCCCAGAAGCAGCTTACTCTGAATGGGAATGGCTGACCTAATACACTGTGATAAAAGCATCCGTAGAAATAAGCCCAGGGGCTCTGTGGTTAGGGAGGATGTTGGGAAAGTCTTCAGAGTAAATTAAGTCAGTCAGTGCAAGGCATGGTTCTGGGCTTGATGGGAAGAGATGGAGTGGAGGAGGGCGAAACGGAGGAGGATCAGAATGAAATATAAAGAGGAATGGAAATTTTTCTCTACCAAAACTAAAATCAAACAATGAACACAAATGACCAAAAGAAAAGTGAAAAGGGCCATGAGTGAATGGCAGAGAGCTCAGATACTTTAAGAGAGGGATAGTTATTTCCGGATAGCTGGAATGGTGAAAATTTATCAAAGAAAGGGCCTATGGAGAAAAGCCTAAAGCATGAGAATATTTTGACAAGTGGCAGATGAAGAGAAAGCATCCCTGAAGTTGGTGATTCATACTAATTGCAGGAGACGTGACAACAAAAAATTCTTTCGTGTGAGTCCCCTTTTAATATTTTATAAAAATGTGCATCATGACTAGCAGTACATCAGCTTTCTGAAATATATTATTATTTTTTTTTGCAGTGTTCCTTCCTCTCCCCCCCCACTGAAACATATTATTTTAATATATTTGTTTTTATATTTATTTAAAATATTAAGTAAACTTTAAGTGTATTGTTCTTTTTTTTCCTCCAGTTTCTTCCTCTGCATTGATCATTGTATGATTGGCATGAAATCTTAATTTTAGAGATGTACAGATCCCTTTCTGTTTCTCTACTGTGCTTCCTGAAATTGAGCTCTTATTAGTGATGCACTTTTGTGTATTTTTTCCTTTGAAGATATTCTTCTCTCCTCTCTGCTGATTGACAGTAGAATATCTGTATTTTTATTACCCCAAATATGCTGTTGTTGTTGTTGTTGTTGTTATGTGCCCTCGAGTCAGACCTGACTCATAGAGACCCCTCCTTGGGTTTCCGAGGCAGTATCACTACGAAAGTAGATTGCCCCATTTTCCTTCCCAGGAGTGGCTGGTGGGTTTGAACCACCAGCCTTCTGGTTAGCAGTCAAGTGCCTTAGGCACTACGCTATCAGAGCTCCCCCCTAAATATGTAATGCCTAATAATTCATGCCACTCCTCGGAAGGAAGGTTGGGCAATCCTACTTCCGTAGTGATACTGCCTCGGAAACCCAAGGAGGGGTCGCTATGAGTCAGGGCTGACTCGATGGCACATAACAACAACAACAATAATTCATGAGAACTCTGGTAGCATAGTGCCTAAGGCACTTGACTGCTAACCAGAAGGCTGGCGGTTCAAACCCAACAGCCACTCCTCGGAAGGAAGATGGGGCAATACACTTCCGTAGTGATACTGCCTCAGAAACCCAAGGGACGGGTCGCTGTGAGTCGGTGCCGATTCGACGGCACATAACAACAACAACAATAATTCATGGGTTACTATTGCTTTTCAATTCCAAATGTTAAGATTACCTTGATAGACTACAATCAAAGCACAAGTAATGTACACTTAAAGAATTTCCTGAGATTTCCAAATTCACTACCTTAATACATACAATGCTAGTCAAAGTCATAGAGTTTTTTTTTTTTTTTTCAATAATCTCTAAACACTTTTCTAAAAATTCAGCTCTACTTTAGGAATATCACACCCATTCAAAGGCTTTAACTTTGTTCTTCAGTGAGATATTGACTATCTTGTGACAAGTTGCTATCACTTATCTAAATTACATCCTTTCATTCACATTATTTGTCTAATTTCCTGGATTTACCCCATCATGCTATAAGAATTTGTCATGTTATACTATCTTAATAATCCTTCCTAATTTGACTCAGAATGCCCCTTTAATAATGTCAGCCATCAAATAAATACTTGAATCTACTACAAAGGTTTCCATAAAAATTACTAAAAAATGTAAGGGAATTCAATGTCTTTATTTCTGAAATATTTAATTTCTAACTTCCAATTTCATTAGTTCTTGAAAAAAATCCATTTAGTATAAAAGTAATGAACACTGCCACCTCAAAGTCATATCTATTGGAAGAAAGAAAAATATGAAGTTGGAGGAAAAAAGATGTGAGACCCCCAAAAATCACATTTACCTTTCCATGGAATAAATGAAGAAGCACAGGTCTTTGCAAAGCTTCCAGGTTTTCTTTTCCTATGATTTGGGGTGTATTTTTTCCTTTGAAGATGTTCTTCTCTCCTCTCTGCTGATTGACGTTTTCCACATTCACATCATTTATCTGAAATCATGGAAGCAAATCTATTAGGAAAAAAATGTGCTATGTTTGTTTCCATAGAAGTCTCTTAGAAAATAAACTGGTAAAGGTATAAACAAGGTGAGGCCATAATTTTTCTGTCATTTTTCTTTCCATGCTTCTAGGAACCTAGCCATTAACTTTAAAAGAATAGAGAAAATATTCAAAAGTTAAATATTTGAATTAGGTAAAAATATTGATATTTAAGGAAATCTGTGACTTCAGTCTTACAGCAACTGTGACTTGGATATGGCTCTTCTTTGCCATTATTCCTCTCTATTCATTCTGAACTCTTCCTGTCTGTGTAATCTTCTCTTCACTATTTGTACCATTTATCTGGAAAGACTCTTGCCCATTCTAATTCATCTATACATGTAAAATGAAAAATAGCCAGTCTAATTACTGGACACATCTCAAAACAAAAACCAAGCTCACTGCCATTGAGTTGATTCTGACTCACAGCAACCCCCATTGGGTTTCCAAGGCTATAAATCTTTATGGAAGCAGATTGCCTCATCTTTCTTCTATAGAGCACCTGGTAGGTTTGAACCACTGACTTTTTGGTTAGCAACCAAATGCCTTAAGCACTATACACCAGAGCTCCTTAATTCCTGAACAAAGAGGAACACAATGTTTCTCTTCAGAATATTTTATTCTTCTATTGAAAATTGACTTGGAAAGATGGATGATGAAGTTTTGACCCAACCTGGAAGATACCATATCTGTTAGAGACGTCCAGAAATGCAAAGATTGCTTGGCAAAGGTATTGTAATATCACCTCACTATAAATATACATCAGTTACAATGCAGCAAATTTTGTTCCAAATGCTTGCTCCTATGTATTTATTTCATTCTAACTTACAGAAGAATAACCAACTTCACCAAAGAAATCTATTGCCTTTAGATTCCTGAAAATAAAACATGGAATCACAATACGTTAAAGTTGAAAAAGGCCTCAGAAGCCACCAAATTCAACCTTCTTTCTCAACACATAAATTCAAAACCATTGTGACTAACCAAATACTTCTAATTGGGGGTGTGCCTAGTTTCTTCCTCAGGAAGAATAGAGAATAAGTTTACTTCCTCATTGATAATTCCACATATTACATCAAGGAACTAAGGGACCTCCTAATTTTTTCTGCTCTTTCATTTGGGTTAGCGCAATTTTTTTTTCATAAGACATGGATTCTAGACTCCTCACTCACTTCTACAACACTTTGAGTGGAGCTTAGTTTAATGTTTCTATTTATATAATATGTAGAACTGGCCATTATGTTCCAATTGCTTACCAGCAAATGTTTTCTATTGTCTTCTTCTACAATTTAAAAAGATTAGACCAGTTTTTATTAGCAAAAACCAAAATGATAAATATACTTATTTTAATGATAGATAGCAAACCAAATGGGCATACAGCTAAGAAAACAAAGCAAGTGATACTGAACAGTACACTTCTCAAAGACTTTGCTGACACTGAATTCATGCATCTTTCTGGTAGAAAATGCCCACCGTGATTTTGATCAGTTGGTCATCATCACCATCAGGATTCCTCCACAGTAAGACAACATCTACATTGGATGAAAGTCGGTAGCCCACAATGTCTTCGAGTTTTCCTTTGCCTCGATCAAGAAGAACTTCAGTGGAGTATGAGAGTTTGTACAGCCGTTCATTATTTAATGAAAGACCAGTTGTGTGACCTGTCAAAAGATAATAACATAAGTAAAGATTTAGTTGTAAGTTACCTTTCTATCAGGACATTCCTCATCATCTAGCACATTGGTACCTAGTGGGAGCTTAATAAATATTTGCTGGATAAAAGAACTGGTAGCATAGTGCCTAAGGCACTTGACTGCTCACCAGAAGGCTGGCGGTTCAAACCCACCAGCCACTCCTCGGAAGGAAGGTTGAGCAATCCTACTTCCGTAGTGATACTGCCTCGGAAACCCAAGGAGGGGTCGCTATGAGTCGGGGCTGACTCGACGGCAAACAACAACAACAACAAAAGAACTGGGCTCTGGTTCAACTTTTCCATCTGATGAAATCATTGACTAGAAAAATAAATAATCTCTCATTTAGGAATACTCTAGTTAGTATCCCTAATAATTGTATCATCTATCTAATATTATCCTGGTTGAGCTATAGATTTTTTTAAATGTCATTGCATTCTTTTTAGTTATGTGAACATGATTATAGTAGAAGTCCTGCCAGGTATTACTTCATAGAATTAATCAGAACCATTTGTAATTAGCATATACTTAAATACAGAAACATTAATCTAAAGTAATTTAAGAGTTAGAAGGTAGTTTCCTTGCTTAATTTGGTTAAAGAATGTCCTTTTAATGTAATTTACTCTATGAATTTATTTAGCATACTCTTATTACAAAGATATATTTTAGGGCTAACACCAAAATCAAACCCATTGCCACTGGGTCAATTCTGACTCACAGCAACTCCCATTGGGTTTCCAAGGCTATAAATCTTTACAGAAGTAGATTACCTCATTTTCCTCTCACAGAGCAACTGGTGGGTTTGAACCACCAACCTTCTGGTTAGCAGCCAAATGAATTACACACTGGGCCACCAGAGCTAGATATATGTAAATTTAAATTAGATGTAACTGAATAGAATGGTGTTCTATTACATAAAATCTTCACACAGGTTTGAATTTGGCAGTGGTGCTTTAATAACAAATAATATGTAATTCAGTATTGTGTGCCAAGAAAATTGGTATATGAACTAGGTCACTCCCTCTCCAATTCAGTTTAACTTATCTCAAAGAAATGTAGAGTAGTAGGATCCAGATTTCACCAGAAATGAAGTTCATGGTCATACTAACTCCTTTTGTATATTTCAGTCTATGGCTTTCAAGAGATAGTAAAAAATAATTTCACTATATATTTTTCTTCTGTCCTAATGGGTTGCATTGCCTAGTTACTTATAACAGGCAATTATAACTTTTTTTCCCCTTACGAAATAGGCATATAAAAGGGGATTGAGATAACTAGGTGGGAAGCAAATTAAGAAAATCTCTGTAAACTCTTTACCATCTACACAGAAACAATCTCCTTGCCTATCTCCACTACCTACTGCCCAGAGGAAAAGAATGGTCTCTGGTATTTAACTCTTCTGTTTTAAGTGTTTTAACTCATTAGGTTTAATCCTTATTAAACCTAATGGGATAGGCACAATTTACCAAGGTCATCAGAGGTGGAGCCAGGATTTAACTTCAGGCTGTCTGGCTCTAGAGACCAAGCTCCTACTTGTCCTATGCTGCTCTAAAACTTTAGGTTGAATTATTTTCCATTTCTAAGCAGTGACTTAGTCATTCATTCTTTCATTCAACAAAGATGTACTGAGCATCTACTGGGTGGTAGACAATGTTCTGTGCTCTGGGGCTATATGTATAAACAAGCAGACAAAATCTCTACTCTCATAGAGTTTACATTTAAATGAGGGAGATGGACAAGTTAAAAAAAAAAAAGTAAGCAAAATACATAGTGTGTTATAAGTGATAATGAAGAAAAATGAAATAAGGAAGAGAAATGAGGATGCTGAGAGAAAGGCTTCTAAGAAAAGATGACATTCTGAGCAAAGGTGTTAGTTAGGCTACTCAAGAGAATATTTGTGAGAAGATAATTCCTGGCAGAGGAAACAACAAATGAGCAGGCTCTGAGGAATGTATATGCAGGAGTAATGGAGCAACAGCAATCTCTCCCTTCCAGGCTGGAAATAAGTAAGTGAGAGACACAGTAATAGAAGATGAGGTCAAATAGACAGACACAGGCATCAAGACCTGGGAGTTTGACTCTGAGGGAAATGGGAAGCCATTGGAGAGTTTAGGGTGGTGGAATGACATGATATGGCAAGCCTCCTAAAAGAAGGAAGAGGAGATTTGATAAGAATTAAGAAAAACCCAGGAGAGAGAAGTGTGAGAGTGGGTATTCAAGCATGTACACTCAAAAACAGATTGTGTCCAAGCAGCAAGTCAGGCAGAACCTGAGTTAAGAGATAGGAAACTCAGGGAAAGTTTGAGTAAACACCATGAAGCAGATGAGGTTTGTCTGTGAATCTTTACACCATCCCTTATCTCCATCTACTTTGCATTTTAACTGGAGACCCTGCTACTAGTTCAAACACTGACTTGGCCAGGGAAGATCTTTTGGTCAGGAAAGGCTTTTTTTTATGGCACTTCTCAAATTATAGGTAGGGTATAAAGGAAACAGGTATCATCTTCTTGAATCATCACAGTGATCTTGAAAGGTGAGCATTATTATGACTGCTAACAGAAGCTGACTAAATTAGACTCCACATTCAACCCAATAGCAGCTGTGATATGGAATTTGACTTAAATTTACTGAAATCACATGAAGGTGTCTTTTATTTATTTATTTGAGTATAATTTTTTGGTTTTGGTGAAAATATACATAACCAAACATACACCCTTCAACAATTTCCGCATGTACTATTCAGCGACATTGGTTCCCCTCTTCAAGTTGTGCCACCTTCCTCGGCAACCATTTCCAAACTATTTCACCATAATTAACACAAACCTACTGGCTTCTAAGCTTCTCATCATATATCTTTTTGATTTCCTGTTGTCAATTTGATCACATATAGATTGAAGATTTCTTCTGATTAAAATAAATATGAAAAATGTGTGGAAGGTAGCTTTTCTTAAATTCCTGCCTTCCAAACTATCATGTTGTTCCTTTTTCTCATACTTTTACCTTACTAGTCAAAACAATATGAAAAAGAGACACGTGACAGTTCAGCTCTTGACTATCACTTCAAAGTGATAAAGTATAGGAAAGAAGGGCCTTGTTCTCCTAGAACATTTTTCTACTTCTGTCAACAGGAAAGGTAGCTTAAAAGAGCTCAAATAAATGGATTGGTCTTTAGTGTTGTCCCGGTCATCCTTTCATTTCTGATGACTATGTCTCTGTTTAAGTTATTCAGATCTGGCAACACTGAGCAGAGTGCCTCTATGGAGGCATAGGTTTCTCTTAATTCTGTTTCTTTATATGGTTAATTTATTTTCTAAGGTGTTATTCTTTCTTCAGAGTACGAATAAAGACAATTTTTGGAACTGATATTAGATGAAACCAAAAGAGAAATAAAATTTAACCAAAAGGAAGTCACCTCTTCAATTTGCCTTTCAAGTGCATTTAGAATTTCTAAGTGATTTAAAAGCAATCAAACTCTTTAGTTTTGAACATTTTAAGAATAGTCTTAAAGTATTAATCGATCAAACTTAGACAAATTCAACAACCAAGTTAACTGATAGGAGGACAAGGCAGAGATAAGTTAAAGGTGAAGTTTGAAGAGACATTCAATTGTGATAGGGATAGAAAATGGAGCTTAATAATCCAACACAAAAATATCTAATGTCAGAAATAAGGGCAGGATGAAGGTTAAAAATAAAATAAAAAGGAACTGAAAGATGATCAACAAGAATGGATGGAAAAATAATGGTAAGACCAGGGAGTGAGAGAGAGAAGTGAAGGAATCATTCAAGTTTAAAGGTGACAAAGTTAAATAGAAAGCTTATATATGGGTTATCAAAAGTGAAAGTATTATAAAGAAAACTTGATGAAAGCACTGCAAATAGATGCACCATCACATAGTATAATTAGGAAAAAGTAGGGAAAACATGGAGGGCAGTGGTAGTCCAATGGTAGAATTCTTGCATTCCATGTGAAGGACCCAGGTTCAATTTCCCACAACTGTGTCTCAAGTGCAGTCTCCACTCATCTCTCAGTGGAGGCTTGTGTGTTTCTGTGGTGCTGAAGAGCTTTCAGTGACGCTTCCAGACTAAGACAGACTAGAAAGAGAGGCTTGGTACTCCACTTCCAAAAATCAGTACCTATAGATCACAAAGGTTCAACTCCATTATCTATGGCTGCTCTTCAAGTTGGTGGCCTACTAAATGGCAGCTAACAACAGGGAAAACTTGAGTCTTTAAAGCATTCACACTCAGCATACTGATTTAAAATAGTAATTTAATATTTAGAATCCTTACCCCTCCTCCAGGAGCTCTGGTAGCATAGTGCCTAAGGCACTTGACTCCAAACCAGAAGGCTGGCAGTTCAAACGCACCAGCCACTCCTCAGAAGGAAGGCTGGGCAATCTACTTCCACAGTGATACTGCCTTGGAAACCCAAGGAGGGGTCGCTATGAGTCAAGTCCAACTTGATGGCACATAACAACAACAACCCCTCCTCCATTCTCTTCACATTCTAATGTGCCCTCACCATTCACTCATATCCAGGGACTTACAAAATAGTCACATTGCTAATTTAAATTAGAGATGAGTTTTGAAGTGATGCATGGGATCCCTAAATTTAGAATGACTTGATTTGAAAGGAAGATTCTTCACAGTAGTTTGCTAGTTAAATGTCAGTCATTTAAAAAAAAAAAAAAAAAAAAAAACACCAAACCCACCGCCATCAAGTCAATTCTGACTCACAGTGACCCCCATTGGGCTTCCAATGTGGTCAATCTTTATGGAAGTAGATTGCTCAGTCTTGCTTCTGTGGAGTGGCTCATGGATTTGAACCACCAACCTTCTGGTTAGCAATGAGATGCCTTAGTCACTGTGCTACCAGAGCTCCTTAGTCATTATGAAGTCTATCATTAATCGTGGTACTATATAATACAAATGCATATCAGGTCTAGATTGATAGACAGCTGTTAGGTCTTGTACTTTTTATTTATTATATTTGGCATAAGCATCTTATATCCTGGAGTCAATCAAATATAAGCTTTAGACCCATTCACTTGTCCAGGCTCCTTCCAAGAGATTGGAAGTGGACCTTAGCAATGTACACTCATATCTTTTTTTCAGTAAAATTTTCTCAAGTAAGGTGTTTTTTAAATTGTTTTTCAAAATTGTGTAAGCTTCAAGTTCTAGCAATTTGGATTTGCCTCTGAGCTTATACATAACAAACTGTAACTATTTGTCACATTCTAAGACATATTTTCCTATGAGTCATTGTTCTATGTATGTGTCTGTATCTGTATATATATAACATATATGTATAATTATTTTATAAAACCTTTATAAATGCATTTATTTGGAAACTTCATGGCATTCAGTTTGCTATTATGTTGTTGAAATCACTCACATTTCAAATTCTCAACAGTTTATTTAACAGGTGATAAAATAGTACACCCTCCATGAAACAATTCTCAGTTAGATATCATTTACAAATCTTCACTTCTCATTTTAAGAAAATTTTCATAAGATTGTACTTTTAAATACAAAACTTTTAAGAAACTCATAAAAATATCTTATCTTTAATTCAATAGCCTAAGGTGTGATTTGCTTAGGGGAAATCATTTAAATTTAGCCTACCATTTACTGCTGTAAGAATATTGTCTTTTTCCCTCATGTGAAAATTTTCAACACAAAAACCTTGAGACGATTCCACTTTATATGATCAAAAGTCAGAGTTACGCCAAGAGAATTTTTAACATTTATTGGTGAATTGTTTTATATCAATTATTTAGGATGAGTACTCAACAGCAGCTAAAAACAATAAACAGTAACATGTTGTTTTAAAAGTTGGAGCCCCTTATATTAAGTTATATATTAGTATAATTGGTATTGACAGTGTGTCTCCTTAAGAAACACTAAAAAGTGGTGGTTTTACATGGTACAGCATTTAGAAACTTAAAAAGCTAATGCTATAGGTGATTTTAAACAAGATTTCACTGTTCATATAGTACAAAGCTTTTCAAAACTATTCCTCACAAAATGTTTTTTTTTTTCACACTTTCTCTGAAGAGTATCAATTCTATTTTTTTAAATTAGTTTTGTCTTCATATAGAAACTATAACTACCAATACTATTTTTTCAAATATTGTATGTCTTCTTTCTTAAGTCTATATCATATACTTTAATTTTTTTTGAGTTCACCAACTATCATAACTCTATCTCTTTAGAATGACAATGCAATTAAATACGCTATTTTAGCATCTCATTCATAATTCTTCGGCAATCAAATGCTTTCTTCATTGAGTCTAATTCTTCTTGATGTCACATTGCTAAGCAACTAGAAGGAAATTTAAGAACTTTTAAAAAAATCTTCTTTTACAATTCAAATAAGGGAGCAGTATTCAGTGAATCACCAACAGAAGTAGGTAACAATAACTGGCATCTTTTTTCCCTCTTTTGAAAATAGAGCATGAATGGCAAACTGAAGCAAGAAGCGCACTGGGCAGAGGAACTGAAAACTCAAAGAAACCTCTGTTTCCTTAAAATGTAAGAATTTTAATTTGGTTTTCATTCCAACCCAGTCATGCCTTCACAAACATTCCTGAATTACATGATTTAGAAGATGATTTAGTTAGGACTCTTTTACTGTAAAAACACACTCCTCTCCCCTGAAAGATTGAAAGGAAAGTTTAGCAAGAAACAACACAAACTTACCTTTAACAGAAGCTGAGTATGAGGAAATGAAGCAGAGAAAAAGCACTGCAAGAAGGATCATATTGACTAGCCACCCTCTCATGCATCCAGTTCCCAGCTAAGAGTCACAGAGAAGTGGACTCCTCAGAAGGCAGCCCAGAGAGTGACCCTCTCAGAACCTGCAACAATAATGTTTATCTTTGGTGAAAGGTCAGATTCCAAACTCCAAAATCAGGAACTAAGTTCACTGAAGTGCTGCTCACTATTAATGATTAAACTCAGGTGGGCTGCAGTTTTCAGTCTCTCACTCTTTTTTTTTTTTTTCACTCATTGTAGAAAATCAAGAAAGTTTTCATATTTCATAGTCAATCCAAACCAGTCTAAATTTCCATAAATGCAGAACTGAGGGAAATTTTAAGAAAACTGATAGTGAGACTTTTCTGTCCAGTACATAATAATCATCATTCTGCCTATAACTGCCCATCTTCACACTTTACTCATTTATGTGGGAAGGTTATGGGGATTCTCAAACTCACCTACACTTAACTGAATTTTGCTATTTTTTCTATGATCACCTGTAAACTTTTTATACTATTTGCATACTATCATAAAAAGGAATCTGAATTTTAGGATTTAAATTTAGATTAAGTCCTACCAGCATCAATCACTTAAAAATAATAATAAAGGGAACTTTCATTCCTGAAGCCTAGAAGATTCTCCTTACAGGAAACTATATGAGGACACAACAAATCAGCATTGCCTGTCTTTAATGTGAGGGGAGTGGTGGTTTGGTGGCTAAATTCCCACCTTCCATGTGGGAGACCTAGGTTTGATTCCTGGCCAATGCGTTTCAAGTGCAGTTACCAGTTGTCTGTCAGTGGAGGCCTATGTTGCTATGATGCTAAACAGCTTTCTGTAGAGCTTCCAAACTAGGAAGGAAGGCCTGGAGCTCTACTTTGTAGATCAGCCATTGAAAACACTATGGATAACAATGGTCCAACCCTAGTATGTGTGGGGGAAATCGAGGGCTGACTCAGTGGCAACTAGCAACATCATTAATGTGACTGTGCTTTGGAACACATTAGGATGTATCATAGTATACCTGCCATAGTGTCCCTAAACTGGCTAGACAGAGTCCTATGCTTTCTGAGTCCCATTTCTAGGAAGAGATTTAGAGGAGAAATCCCAGTCCTTAGAACTTTCACTACAGAAAAACTAATTAGGAAACTTCTCTAAAACTAAAATGAATATGCTAGTATGGCTAAGGCCAGGTTGACTGAACCATCGCTTGTCTCTAGAAACTCCTATGAGAGAACCTGGTATAAACAAAGCTTATTATACTAAGATAGCTTAGGGGGCATATGGGAAATTTTGGGCAAGGAAGTAAATAAAGTTCTGGTGAAGGATGACTTTAATGTATTTGAAAATATTTATTGCTATGTTTCAGTCTAAAATGAGCCCCTGAATCTACACTGGTTTCTCTCAAAACCCTTTTTCTGGATTCCTAACCTAGAGCCTAAATCTTCTAGTTAACCCAGATAGAAGATTAAAACTTGATAGGCAGGGCTACAAAATGAAATGTAAAATACAAAAATCTCCAAAATTAAGTACATTTCTTCTGGAAATATATTTTAATGTAAATAACTGAAATATGAAAACTATTTGTTCTTATCACCTATTCAGAATAGAAACTTTGTTTCCTATTAGAAGTTTTATATACAGATCATGGCCAGATAGCTGAACAAAATAATTTGTGTTGTTGGGAATATCACCTTAAAATTATAAATACTAAGTTCTCTGGGGGTTAAACTTTTCTATTTTCTATTTTTTTAAAAGAAAAATAACTTTGTTGGAGGAATATATAATTTTATGAACAGGTTTTGTTGTTGTATGCCTTCAAGTCAATTTCATTTATAGTGACCCTACAGGATAGAGTATGACTAATTACCCCATAGAGTTTTTAGCCTGTAATCTCTATGAGAGCAGACCTCTAGGTCTTTTCTGGAGCAGGTGGTGGGTTCCAACCTCTGACTTTTTGATTAGCAGCCGAATTCTTAACCAACGCACCAACAGGCCTCCTTTATGAACAGTAAGCATTATGAATACAACATAGTGTGAAAGTGCTTTATAGATTTATTTTTTAATAGATTTCTATGTGTTCCCACAAGTTCTGCATTGCATACATAGGATTAAGAGCTATTATAGTAATTTCAACCTTATGCACATATTATCTAAATTAAGGATTAGTTTGCCTCCTATTTGATTTTATGAGAACTGTCTTTTATACTTCTATGAGAGGCTCATAATTGGTCCATAGGCTTTTAAAGTTTTAAGTTAGACCATGTGGTACATAATACGTGTCTCTTCGGGTAAAGTACTATTCGTTGTCAGGTGTTTACCAGAGTCCAACCAATAAAAGACATATCACTATTGCCTAATAAAACATACTGTTTCATTTGTGGATTTGCTTTCCTAGAAGGCTCTTATGAGTCACTGAACTAGTCATTTCAATCTAGGATGTTCAAATGATGCTGCTTATCATTAATAAATGACATGATTGTTTTATATTTTATTTATAACCTTGTCTTTTAATGAAAATATTTGAGAGAAAGACATTTTGAACTTGGTTCAACAGAGATAAAATAGAATATTGAACCATTTTGATATTCAATGAACTCTGTTACCAAAGATGTGGCATTCTCCTCTTGTTAATCAAGATTTTCTAGAAATGTAAATTTCCAAAAAAGAAGCAGAGTAAACACATATATGTAGGAGATATCTCCCATATCTCAGTAGTTCTTTTACATGGCACGTGAAACAGGTCAGAAGTACAGTATATTTAGTAATAATGTGAACCTTCTATGGAACAATTGCTGTTGTTTTTAGGTGCCATTGAGTTGGTTCAAACAGGACCCTATGTACAACAGAACAAAACACTGACCAGTCCTATGGCATCCGCACAGTCATTGCTATGCTTAAACCCATCGTTGCAGTCACTGTGTCAATACATCTCATTGAGGGTCTTCCTCTTTCTCACTGACCCTTTACTTAACCAGGCATGACATACTTCTCCAGGGACTGGTCCTTTCTGAAAATATGACCAAAATACCACAGACAAAGTCTGGCCATTCTCACTTCTAAGGAGCATTCCAGCTGCATGCCCTCCAAGACAGATTTGTTTGTTCTTCTGGTAGTCCATGATATTTTCAATATTCTTCTCCAACACCACAATTCAAAGGCATCAGTTCTTCTTTAGTCTTCCTTATTCATTGCCCAGCTTTCACATGCACCTGAGGCTATTGGAAATATCATGGTTTGGGTCAGGTGCACTTTAGTCTTCACAATGACATCTTTACTCTTTAACACTTTAAAGAGGTCTTTTGCAACAGATTTGCCAAATGCAATACATCGTTTGATTTCTTGACTTCTGCTTCCATGGGCATTGATTGTAGATCCAAGTAAAATGAAATCCTTGATAACTTCAGTCTTTTCTCCATTTATCATGATGTTGCTTATTGGTCCAGTTGTAAGGATTTTTGTTTTCTTTATGTTGAGTGTAATGCATATTGTGCACTATAGTCTTTGATTTCATCAGTAAGCACTTCAAGTATTCTTCACTTTCAGTGAGCAAAGTTGTGTCATCTGCATATTACAGTTTGTTAATGAGTCTTCCTCCAAACTTATGTTGCATTCTAATTTATATAGGCCAGCTTCTTGGATTAGTCATTCAGCATACAGATTGAATAAGAATGGTGGAATGATACAACCCTGATGGACACCTTTCCTGATTTTAAACCATCCAATATTCCCTTGTTCTGTTTGAATAGCTGCCTCCTGGTCTATGTACAGGTTCCTCATGAGCACAATTAAGTGTTCTTGAATTCCCATTCTTTTCATTGTTATCCATATTTGTTATAATCCACACAGTTGAATGCATTTGCATACTCAATAAAACACAGGAAAACATCTTTCTGGTATTTTTTGTTTACAGACAAGATCCATGTGACATCAGCAATGATATCCTTGATTCCACATCGTCATCTGAATCTGGCTTGAATTTCTGGAAGTTCTCTGTAAATGCACTGCTGCAACCATTTTTGAATTATTTTCAGCAAAATTTTATGTATGTATTATAATAATTATATTGTTTGATAATTTCCACATTCTGTTGGGTCATCTTTCTTTGGAATGGGCATAAATATGGATCTCTTCCAGCCTGTTGGCCAGTTAGTTGCTTCCAAACTTCTTGGTGTAGATGAGTGAAAGCTCCCAGGACTACATCCATTAGTTGAAGCATCTCAATAGCATGCCATTAATTTTTGGAGCCTTGTTTTTCACCAGTTTCTTCAGTGCAGCTTAGATTTCATCCTGCAGTACTGTCGGCTCTTGACCATATGCTACTTCCTGAACTAATTGAACATTGACCAATTCTTTTTGGTACAGTGACTCTGTGTAAGTGTCTGTATAAGACAGATTAGGAAGAAGGATGTGGCAGTCCACTTCTGTAAAAACTGGCCACTAAAAACGTTATGAATAGCTGTGAAAAACTGTCTATATATTACTGGGAAACTTCTAAATAGCAATGAAACATTGTCTGATATAGTGCCAGAAGATAAGCCCCTCTGGTTGGATGATGCTCAAAATATGAGTGGGGAAGGGCTGCCTCCTCAAAGTAGCATTGACCTTTAAGATGTGGATGGAGTAAAGCTTTCAAGATCTTTGATTGCTGATGTGGTATGAGTCAAAGTGAAGAAAAACAACAAACAAACAAAATGAGAAGAAGCTGCAAACATCCATTAATAATCACAAGTTGTCAAAAATGAAATGGAATGCATAAAGATCAATATATTCAGCATTAGTGAGCTGAAATAGACTGGTATTGGCCATTTTGAATCAGACAATCATATGGTCTACTATGCCGAGAATGACAAATTGAAGAGGAATGGCATCACATTCATTGTCAAGATCTATCCTAAAGTACAATGCTGTCAGTGATAGGATAATATCCATATGCTTACAGGAAAGACCAGTTACTACTACTATTATTCAAATTCATGCACCAACCATTAAAGCCAAAGATGA